AAGCTGTGCGGCCACCACTTCGTGCGCGCGCTGGTGTGGCTGTGCGGGGGCCCGCGCTGGTCCCCCGAGGACGGGCGACCTGTGGCTGGTGGCGACCGTGAGTGAGGGCGGGCGAGGACTGTGCTCTGGGGCCTCTGGGTGTGTTGGGGGTGGGTGCATGCGGGCGTAGATGGAGATTGGGGCAAGCGGGAGGGTCTGCATGTATGTTCGGGGGTCCACTTGCCAATTGCAGGGTGTGCGGTCCCCTGCCCTGGGGGAATCAGTGCGAGGCGAACCAGGCAGAATCTTAACAAGTGTACAGTTAGATCTTGTCTTTATTTACAATTTCAATATTTTGAGCATCACGAATTTTTGTGTTAATTTTGATTTTTAAATATTGCATTAAAACATAATTGATCTTGGTTGTTGAGGTTTTTTGGCGCCCCCTTAAACTGTGCACTGGAGGCCAGAGACTGGTTCTCCTCGCCCTAGTCCTGGCCCTGGTGCAGAGGGTATCAAACAGGTTTGTGCGCACGTCTGTCACACGCGTGTGTGTCCGGTGTGTGTGAGTCTGTGTGACACAGGTACAGATGGGTGTGCAGGGGCACACGTGGAGGGGATGTGAGGGTGTGTGCCTGCGTCTATGTGTGCCCACTGCCTGCACACGCTGCACATGTATGTTATGTGTCCCCTGTCCCACTGTCCCCTTACTATCTTCTGCTCTGTGAAGTGCCTGTGCGGTCTTATGCTGGGTGGCACATGGGAATGGCCATAGCTGGGGACTTGAGTGTGGGTGTGGGTGGAGAGTGCACACATCTGGACAGGGGATTCAATCCGTGCCTGCTATACAGTAGGTGCTTCATAAATGGTCAGTCTACTTATGTGCATGATGAGTGTTTGGTGGGTCACACAGCAGGTTGTGAGCTGCAGTTGTGTGTGCAGTGTATGTGTGGGGTCCTCTGGGGTACCCGCTGCATGCTGAATTCCTCCCTGTCCCCAGGTGAGCTGCTACGGTGGCTGGAAGGAAAACATCTCCTCCATGGGCTGGTGGCCAATGGGGACCCCATGCTGATACTCGCCTCATCGCCCCTGCCCCAGGCCTCTCACCATCACCACCACCGCCGGGCAGCTGCCACCAACCCTGCCCGCCACTGCTGCCTCAGTGGCTGTACCCGGCAAGACCTGCTGGCCCTCTGTCCCCACTGAACCCTCCTGGGGCGTGGCTTTGGAGGCACCTGAGACCTAAAGGGGTCTGGTCTGGCAAGCTCCTGATGCCACATAACACCATGAAGCACCATGTCTGGGAGGAGGTTGTTGGTTACCTCTCAAAACAAGGTGCTCACCACCTCCCCCAGGCCACCTGTCCTCTCTGGGGCCAACTTGGAGGATCCTTGGGTTTTTGGAGACGCCAGATACCAAAGTTCAAACATTCTCACCTCAGAGGAGCCCCAAGTGCCCCACTCCCTTGCATTTGTTGACACCCCATTTGCTGTCTCCTCCATAGTAAATAAATAAGATGCCTGCAGAATCCAAAGCAACTTTTTGCATTTTCTCAAGACAACGGGACCAGCCACAGGCCACAGTCAGCCTTCACGTGGGACTGTCCTCCCGGCAGCCACAGACCCACCAACACTTACAGAAACTTAACAATTGGATGGTCATCACAATACAAAGTAGGGAAGCTGAGGTCTAGGGAGGTAGCTGCTTGCCAAGGTCAGACAAGGAGGGAATGGCCAAGTGCAGGATTTGAAGCCAAGTCTCTGTCATGATTCATGTGTCATAACCTCACTTAATGCCCACTTATCAGTAGACATACCACACAGCCGTCTGAATGAGTCACAGTAAATATTTATTCATCCAACTCTCACCATTCTTTTCACTTGCATCCTTCCTTCATCCTGAGATGGGAACTGGACATACGACCCTCTTGAAAAAAATGACAAGGCATTTGAAGACGTCATCTGTTCACATGTATATTAACTTTCCTAAGGCTTCTGTAAGCTCTGCCTCCACCTTCACGTCGTCTTCTTTCCTGTGCCTCTCTCTGTGTTCATTTCCTTCTTTTTAAATTTTATTTATTTTATTTTGGGGGGGAGTACTTAGGTTTTTATTTATTTTAACAGAAGGACTGGGGATTGAACCCAGGACCTCCTGCATGCTGAGAACACACTCTACCACTGAGCTATACTCTCCCCTCTCATTTCTGCCTCTTATAAAGATACTCTTATTGGATTCAGAGCCCACCTCAATCCAAGATGATCACATCTCCATCTCCACCTCAATCACATCTGCAAAGACCCTATTTCCAAATAAAGCCATATTCTGAGGTTCTGGGTGAACGTGAAATTTTGTGAGGCACTATTCAATCCAGTACAGCTGGGGAGAAGCACGCTCGCCCGAGGGCAATGGGGAGCCACAGACGGTGTGCAATCAGGGGCAGGATGAGTTCAGATCTACCTGGTAGAAACCCCTGCAGCCCCTGCCTCATCCAGATTTGCCTCCTCTTGCTTGGATGATGCCTCAGCCTCCACCATCCTTCCCAACAGTCCCCACAGGAGCCACAGGGCTTCTTTAAACTTAAAAATCAATCATGTCATTTCCTTGCTCCAAAGGTGCCATCACCTTCAAAATAATCCTGTCTCTCTTCACCCCAGCCCACAAAGCCCCACGTGGCTAGTTGCTGTGACCTCCTGTCCCCTCTTCCTGCATCTCCTCCTCACTCACCAAGCTCCAGCCACAGCCTCCTGGCTGCAATTTGAATGCTTCCAGATCATCCCACCTCAGGGCCTTGCCGTGCCCTCTGTCTAGAACATCCTTCTTCCACTTCTCCCCAAGGCCATAGCCTCCTCCTTCAGTCCCAGTCCCTTGACCTCCTGGCTAGCACTTGACCCGATCACTGTGTGTCTTCATTTTAATTCTCCTCAAAGCTCTTACCATTTATGGTAACTTCCTATTTGATAGTTCACAGGTTTGTTTCATCACAATAAGCTGAGTCAGTGCCCAGTGACCTTTCCCATGGGGCTAGGAGGAGGCGTACAGGGCAAGGTGTTTAGCACACAGTAGGTATACAATCAATACTGAAAGAAGGGAGGTAAGGAAGCGGATAGAGAACAACAGAATTGCTGTCTCAGCAGGAGAGGTGAGCCCGGTGAAGAGAGGGGAGGTGGGTGGTGGCTGGCGTGGGATTCAGAAGATGTCTTGCCAGAAGCAGGTGGGACCAGGCAGCCAGGAGCTGTTTCACCCCTGTGCCAATCTCTCTTGAGCCTGCCATCAGTCTTGGGAGAGGATGAGCTGGGGGCAATAGGGAGCCATGGAGGGTGTGTGAGCAGGGGAAGGATGATGTCAGACCTGCCTGATAGAAACTTTGATATCCCTTACTTTATCCATATCCTGTTTTCACTCCTGTGTATTTTCTTCTGGAAATGAGAATTTTATGGATAAATGTAGACTGATCTGTATTAAAACTTGTAAATCACTAAAAAAGAAAAAAAAGACCTCTAAGTCTTCACAAAACATTTTATTCCCTGAGGACCTACTCGCCATGCTCACTCTGCCATCTGAGGTTCCCCTCGCCACTGCCCCAACACCTGCGAAGCCTAAGTCTCAGGCACCTGTCTGATCCCAGGAGGGCTGGGGGTCAGGGGTTACCAGCTCACCTGGATCTCCTCAATCTGAAAGATACACTGGGGTGGGGGCCAGTCCTAGGTCCAGAGAGCTAAGGTCCCCCAAGTACTTGAATCTCCCTCTTTTCTGGGCACTGAGGTGAGTCTGTGCACATGCTCTGGCCCCAGTACTGTTCCCTGAATACTTGGGGCACACATGTGTGGAGACTGGGTCCTGCCACGGACTACAGAAATTCTAAGCTCCGTAGCCTGAGACAGATAACTGCCCAGTGACCATTTGAGCACTTGATGCCACAAGCAGGGAGGGGGCGGTCCTGTTCACAGCCCCTCTGGTGGCTCCTACCATCTGAGGGGTCCTAGACCTGGGAGGGAGGGAAA